CACTTAAGGACAGACCTTAGGAATGGAACTTGTTCTTAAACTGGGGACTACCTGTAATAAGGTCACATGCTATATACTTCCTTGAGAGTTCCAGCAATTATTTATACCAGTGATGTAAATATTGTAGCATATGAAGATATAGGCATCCAGGCCAGATTGAAGTATATGCTCCAGTATTTTGACTTTTGACAGTTACATTAAAAAAGAAAGATAAATCTAATGGATCTTTAGAAAAAAAAAGGCAGAAATTAGCACAGATTCCAAGATTCTTCTATCATATTTTAATTGTGAGGACTTTAAAGCTAAGGATTTAATAATGTACTTTTACCATAACTTTACATGCAAACATGCATACTGTACATAACCTTCACCTATTTTTCAGGGAGGTAAATAGTATGATGAGACCACAACAAAAGAAACAGTAATCCAAAGACATTAAAAGCATGAGATAAGAAAAAGAAAACAAAGCATAGCTAAAACCAGTTTACAACAATTCATTATACTTCTCCATATCTTTGTATAATTGCAAAGCATTCTTACTTCAATCATGTCCACTGATTCGTATGTTGCCCTTTTCTTCTTTAAATTTCTTAACATCTCTCCCCATTTCTACTGCATTTAACTTTTATGTTTCTCATGTTATACGTATCTAGCTATATCTATTATGTCCAGCTCTCACTGCCATATAAAAAGTAGGCATAAACATGCTTTTATGCACAGGCATTTTCACTACTTTTGACAAATGTTAATTCCTCACAATAGATGACAGACTACCCAATATAATTCTACCAGCACGTGGACATCTTAAAAATTCTCCATCCATACTCTTATCTTGAGTAAACATTCTTCTAAGATACATACTGTAAATTCACATACTTGCCCTAGTTTTCTCTCTTTTATGTATACATTGCAATTGTTCATTCAATTTTCCCTGTAAAACACAACCACCTTGTTCTTTAATTAATTTAATTAAATGTCCTTGTTCTTAATTAATCTAATTAATTTTCAGCTCAGTTCTATTAATTTTCAGATCATACTCCTCGTGCCATTGCACAATCTAATATTCCCAGCAAATCATTCAACCAACAAGGCAACATCTGCAACAAACATACTTACATTCATGTACCCAAATCACTGTAATATTAGCAAAAACATTCCACACACATTCTTAAAGTTTATGGCCTCTGTGGCTATCATGAGCTTGTCCTAAGTAATCTCCAACCCAATACGCATAGGTAGCCATGTATTAGACTTTGTTTTCACTTTTGAGCAGTTACGTGATTTGGATATGGAGGGTATTACCATTACATCTTTGTCATGATTAGATAATTTCCTAGTCTAGCTTGATTGAAGGCTGCCCATGACCTCTGCAGGGTTGGATCTGTTTGGATGATCCATTCCTGGCACATTATGGATCTAGAGGGTTTCCCTAACATGCTTGGGAACTTTCCTGACAATCTGATGGGCAGTTCCATTGAATGCCTGGTTTGCCACATGGAAGAAGAGGCAATTCTGGCCCTTGATAGAATCACTCCTGAGAATCCTCTCTCTGTTGGCCATCCTGGGTGGTCCCCTGAGTTTTGGAGGTTCTCCATGAGATACAATAGCAGAAGCAACTCCTAGAGCGTAAGTAGAAGGCAACAAGGAACGAAACAGACAGAGCACAAGTACTAGCCCAGGTTTGGCCCCACTCTGTGGCAATTAACGAGGTAAAATACAATACTAAATTAAAACAATTAGAAACATAAACAAAATGAAACAAGACAGCCTGGACTAAAAACAATCGTCAAAACAAAGCATGACAGCTCTTCCCCCAATACACTACACAAGGGTAGATGCTTAATAGTCAGTCACTATTCTCATTAATTCTTAGGTATCCAAACAGCCAATCACTTTTTTGTCTTCTCTTTGTGATGTTCCCACCCATCTGTTCAATAAAGTTCACCCTGGATCACATTCATTCTGAAAGTTACACAATGTTTCCTAAAACACTTCTGGTTCTTCCATTATCATTATTCACTGGAAAATAATGTGAGATTCTCACCAAACTATGGATTCTTACATTCCCGCACACATTCATAACAGTTTAGATGACTTTAATTCATATTTTCTTATATACAAATAGCACTTTAATTGATAATTAAACCTATCCCTTCACATCCTTGCATGTATTCATGAGCTCCGGTCCAGACCACCTTCATTCAGATGAATTGCATCCTCCCCGTTTCTCTTAATTTCACAAATGCATATTATATCTATATCTATATCATCTATATATCTATATATATTCCTTCCTTCCTTCAATTTGTTCACTTACAATGTTTACTATTTACTCCTTTTGCATTCCAAGTTGTAATCTTAAATGAGTCCATAAATATTGGCCTCTACCACCCACCATGACTTCGGTCAGTTAAGGCTTTTATATAAACTTTGGTCATGCTTAAGAGTCAAGGCAAAAAAAGAGAAATAAGGGAATCAAAAATGAGCACCCAGCAGGAATTATGCCTAGGAAGGGAAATTATTTAAACATTACAGCCTGGAGATGTCTAAATAAATCTATTTATGGTATAAACTCATGAAACTTTCAGAAAATGTAAACTACATTTGTACAATACAACAATATTGTAATATTTAGAGAAATTTACTGAAGTTTTAACATGACTTAATTTTTGACCAATCTACTTCAATGATATAGGCTCAATTAAATTATATAATTACCAATCAGTAGGAGAAATAAGCCCTCCTATTGTCTAAAATTACACCAAGTTACAATGGTTTTCAGTACACAGTTCCTGAATTTCTTTTCTCACATTTCCTATTAACGCAAGTAATGCAAAACAACAGAAGAGAAAGCTTTATTTGAGTATTTGACTAGAAAATGTATGCATTCTATTATTTGACAGTGTTTTTCTTCCACAGATTGCTTTTCCTAAAATGGTAGCAAGTTGTTGTCGGTTTCTTTGCTATTTTTGCCGGATCAGTCGCCAAAACCAAAAAGCCATGTTTGAGCATTTAAGCTACTTACTTGAAAATAGCAGTGTTGGACTTGGTATGCTATTTAATTTTAATAGTCATCTGGCTTAATCTGACATATCACCTGTTTAGTTTGCGACCTGCTACTTTAAATCCTAATTTGACTTATTTTGCATATTGATATTGTTCTTATTTATGTAACAGTTTCTTAAGTTTCACCAAGAACTGAACTATAAACTTGAAGAACTTTTTAAAAATCATATTGTGAAAGACAGAGAGCATAATCCTATTGTGTCCACAGTCAGTGAGACGGATCCAGGCACATCCATAGGGTGGGAAAAGTGGCTTTTCAAGTCTAAATCCTGATATATAAAAGATAAGGCATCTCAGGTGTGTTGAGATCTGGTCAACATCTGGGATGGTACTGTAATGTTACTGAGATGTTATTCCAATCAGATCAGTAATCATTTCCTAATACATTTAGGCTGTAAGCATATATCTACTTATATGAAAGGAAGACTCATAGAATTTATTGAACTGACCTGTTTGGACATTATTCCAGAACTGTAGCCATCATCTGTGGCCCTGGTCTCTATTAATTATTCTATTTCTTGATGTCCCGTATTTATTTTGTGTGTCCTGGGAAAAATACATGTGTGTTTCAGAAAGTAATGATTGTTTCATAACATTGCATAAGCAAGTGTTTTCTGTTTGCTGTTAGTTTCCAGCAAACTTTTATCTGACAGGTATGGTGACACACATCTATTTTTATGATGCACACCAATTATTGTATGGGCTGAGATAGTATTAGGTGCTGCTTCTACTTGATCACAGGAGTATCATGCCCTTTTGATGAGCACACAACATTCACAGTATTTTGCCACGGATCTTTTGTATCTAAGTATGCAAAGTATATTATGGCTTGGCTTTGCCTAATAAAAATATAATAAAATAATTGAGAACAAACCAGAAAAGTGAAGGTGGATGAATTCTTTCCATTAACTAAGCCACAAAATGCTGAACTGAAAGCACACCAATAAAAGCAGCAACAACAATCAATGGATTCTCTCCATACACTAAGCCATGAAAGAAACCCTGAATTTGGAACTTTATCTAACTGCAAAGTAACCGCTGCCCTCTGCTGTGTAAGGCATGTAACTACATACCTGATATTTTAATTCTATGCATAATCATGTCTTTTGCTCCAGCTTCTCCTTCTATGAGAGGGTCCACTCCACTAGATGTAGCAGCAGCTTCTGTAATGGACAATAATGAGCTTGCGCTTGCACTGGAGGAGCCAGACCTAGAAAAAGTAATTATTCAACATCTTGTACCACTTTCCATTTTTATCATAACTTTATCATAAGTTCTTGGTGTTCTCTGATCTTGATTGTCTTCTTGCAGAAGAGGTAACTCATTGGTGTTTGGACACGAGGAAGCGAGTTTTGCTGGCTGTTTATATATAGCAGCTTGTCCTCTTACCTAATGGGGCTTAGTTTTTTTCTAGGTATATTATTTATTTTTATTGTCACCCCAGTATGGTCTCTTCATTACAAAACTGTATATTTTCCTGATTTATCTTGAATTATGAAGAATTAACATAGGTACCAATAGAAGAGAATGTGTGTAGCTCAGGGTTGAACTGTGGAGTCCTTGGGGTTCTCTGAGCTTGGTTATTTTCTTGCAAATGCTTTTCTAGGTATATTATTTATTTTTATTGTCACCCCAGTATGGTCTCTTCATTACAAAACTGTATATTTTCCTGATTTATCTTGAATTATGAAGAATTAACATAGGTACCAATAGAAGAGAATGTGTGTAGCTCAGGGTTGAACTGTGGAGTCCTTGGGGTTCTCTGAGCTTGGTTGTTTTCTTGCAAACCTTTCGTTACCTGGCTAGGTAACGAAGCATTTGCAAGAAAATAACCAAGCTCAGAGAACCCCAAGGACTCCAAAATTAACGTAGGCCCTGAGAGGAGGTGGTAGGCAGATCACAGGTTGAGCCCAGGTAACAAAGGGAGCTAGGTTTGTCCTGGTGATGCTGTGAAGCATTTGATCAGGGATTCCTGTGCCTATGAGTGTCCTTGAGTGAACCCTTGGTTCATCCATAGGTCTGTCAGTGCGGGTCACTTCTCTGGGGGAGAAGAAAAGCTTTATTTGGATTCAGTCCTTCCCCTCTCCCTGTATTTCTCTCAATTCTTGTTATGAACTCCTCTTTCTTCTTCATGGCTGTAACCATTTTTATGTCAGTTAGCAAATTTGTGAAAATCAGTTTCTTCTGAAAGCAACCTCCTTTCTTCTAGGTTAAAATGATTATCTCCAATGAAATTAATTGCTTCTATTGTTTACATTTTTGGAAGCTTGAAATACATATGTGCTCATGCATTTCCCCCTGCTCACACATATCACACATGTTGTATCAGCTTACTTTGATTTTGATTCCTTAGAACCAAGATTGAGATGACATTCCTGTTTGTATTGGACAGGTTGTAACCTACTTGGCAGGCTGTGGTCTTCAGAGCTGCCAAATGCTTTTAGCAGCAGGATACCCTGATATTGGTTGGAATCCAATAGAGGGAGAACGGTATCTCTCATTCTTAAGATTTGCTGTCTTTGTTAATGGTAATTCATTTATTTATTTGATTTATATTACAGCTTTCTGTTTACATTTAATTTAGGCACTTAAGCATAGATATTTAATTGACATGAGTTAGGATTACTCTGCTGAGACTTAATTTTCTGTCCCTGCACAGCAGAACGATAGTTGAAACTATTTTGACAGTGTATTCCCTTCCAGATTGTATAGAAAGGCTTGAAAAGGCACACTAAAAACTTTTGTTACCCTAGAGAATAATTTATTTAATATGACATATACTCTTACAAATCAGAACCTGGTTCATTAAATGCATGCATATAAATATACACATGAACAATATTTAGCAAATTAGGTCAGAGAAGATTTAAATGCAGACAGTAATTATATAAAGGCTAGATGGGTGTAAAATTATTACAGTAGTCCATAGACTGTAATGGTGAAGCCTGTTTGCAAGCACACAGGTGCTTAAAGGTCTGGGAGGCTGGGCCTCTGACTCCTATGAGGAGATTCCTAGATCGGTCACTCACAATCTTCCTGCACCCTCCACGCCCCAGGATAAGCCTATGAGTATGCTGCCATCATCCATTCTATTCCAGCACGAGGTTCTTTCTGTGTTAATGTTAAACTGTGCAGACTAGAACTGACGTTGTTTTCTCAGTGGCCTACCTGATGCTGGATATGGCTTTTATTTCATTTGGACCTGATCTCCAGATTCTTAGAATCAAAACATTCTCCTTCCCTGGTTTTTAGTGTCTTTCCCACTCAGTTCCTTCTCAGAAAATCCAAGTTCTTTCTCCTCCCCACCCCAGAATAAAATAACTGGAACAAATATATGAAAAGATCTCAGAGCTGAATAATTCAGCTTTATGGGCAAAATTTTGATTGCACTGCAATGATTATTAAGATGTAATTTTCACATAAATGTGTGTGTGTGTGTGTTTGTTTGGGTTTATATTTTGTTCAGGTAACTGTGTTCTGTGTTTTTGGGGTGGGGGTGTTCCAGGTGAAAGTGTTGAAGAAAATGCCTGTGTCCTTGTCAAGCTTCTTATTCGACGGCCAGAATGTTTTGGCCCGGCTCTCAGAGGAGAAGGAGGGAATGGTCTACTAGCTGCTATGCAAGAAGCAATTAAAATTTCCGAGAACCTGGCTCTAGATCTTACTTCTCAGGGTTCTAAGAGAAAATTGTAAGTGAATGTAAACAGTTGGACAACATATTGTGATAAAGAATAATCTTGACTAGAAATGACAGAAGTTTCTTATTAGTGATAGTTACTCTATAGGATTTCAAACAGGAATGTTTCCTAGCTGTTGCAGGAATTGAACTTGGCACCTTTCATGCTCAAAATATGTCTTTCCACTAATCATTTTTTGTAGTTCTGAGTCTAAAAACCTGGTATAGCAGTAGTTCTGGCAATACTGAGATGAGTTCAGAAAACATTTCTTCAGTGTTTTTATCCACTTCTTATTTCCCTTATATAACTTAACAACTTTCTTGAGATAAATTTAGACCCAATACAACTGCAATGATAATTCTGCAAGATTATTTTAGTTATACTTTGTTAATATCTATAAGAGATATTTTTTCATAGCATATCTCAAATTATTTGCTCACAAAATTTAAGGTTTCTTCAAAAACCAGAAAGTAATGCAAAGTGTTATACTGTACTGTATAGTATAGTATGCAGTACAGTCATATACATTTTCAGTTATTATTCTATATGGTAGTCCTTCGGGTTTGAAGAAGACACACTGTTGTGCAGTTCATCTGTGGACATGGAGGTGGCTCTGCATTCCCAGTCTAGCACAATGGAGGCACTGGAAGTCCATTGTTGTAGTAACTGTGGGTGTTATTCTGTGACACCACTCATGGTTTTCTATCAGTTTTTGGCAGTGTCTGTCTTCAAAGCCAGTTGAAGTTTTGAAGCACAGGGCTCGCCAGCAGGTTCAGTCAGCAGCTGCAACTTCTAGTTCCCTTGGCTGGATGTCACACTGGTGTAGGGTTTCGTTCATGGCATCTTTGTTGCGCTTGCACGATAACCTCAAGGTCTCTTCCCAGTCTCCAGTACACTATAGAGCAACTGGCGAGGCATACTGTGGTCATCTATTCTGATCATGTGTCCCACTGCATCTGGGCTCTGATAATCAGGGACTCAATGGATTGGATTCTGTGCAATCCAAGACCTCTAGGTTGGAGACATAGTCTTGCCAACAAATGCTGAGGATGGAGCAGAGAGCGCACATGTGAAATGTCTCCAGTTGTTTGATGTGCCTTTGGTACAGAGTCCAGGACTTACATCCATATAAGAGAGAAGGGATAACCACAGCTCTGTAGACCTTCAGCTTTGTGGAGATTAGGATGTTGTGTTGATTGAGCACTCCAGTACGCAGCCACCCCAGTGCCTGGCTTATTATTTTTGTTGGTTGCAGAGTCAGCCAAATGCCAAATAGGTTGGTATTTTTATCCACCTATCAAGCCCTCATGATCATGATGGTGATTACAGTGCTTTAGTTAGTTGCCTGGTACATGAGAATGGTTGAAAATAGTACAAAAGTGACATTTGAATTCCTGCACTGATACTGATGTCAAACCACAGTTCGACAGTATTCCAGCCACTTTATGTAGAATTTTTATCTCCTGAATGAGACAAGTAGAGCAATGAGTGTCTATAAGACTTAATAGGACTTAAACTGTTTCTGCTATACTATGGTCTCCCTCATTTTGGTTAATTGGAGAGGGAGAAAGTTGACATTTTCCACTTTCTATTGCTGAAAAAGATTTTCTTCGCAATCTAACTAAGTATGATTAAACTAGTTTAACACAATTCTAAAAGCAGGCAGCTGTTTTTTTAAAGAAAAGTTGCATAGAGAAAGGATATATTAAGATGAAAATCAATTAGAGCACATTTTCTTATTTCACACCTGCTACTTCCCCACACAAATCATCTTCACCAGATACTGTTATAACATCTGAAACATGTATTATAATCATGTAAACTAGTTGGAAGAAGCAGCTGGGAGTGCAAAGGTGGTTGGAGCAAATTTATAATGGGAAGAGAAAAATTAAAGCATAACACCATGCTTGTGTTATGACTGTAAACCAGTCCTTTCCACAATATTTTCCCTCTCTCCCTTTTCTCTATTGAGAATTCAGCACATATATTTGCATGTAAGTTTAATTAGATTTAGAAGAATGTATCTATACCAAACTACTAAGTTTCTGTTCATTCCATCCTAAGAATTTACCAGTATATGAGCTATTATAGGGAAGTATAGCAGGAATTTCAGTTGGAATTTGTTCTATTTATTTTATGAAAGCTCTAAAGAAAAAATGGAATCAATTCTAGTTTAACATTTTGTATTTCTAACAATTTGCGGTAGAATTATCATTAGAAGACTTACAAAAAGTATACAATAGAGGGTAGCAAATTAGTTGAACTTGTTACACTAAAGAAGCCAAAGTGCTTTAAAAAAATATGATGGTACTTTTTGAATTTTCTAAATAACCTCAATATTTATTTATGTCTATGTGATTTCTTTTCACTAGTCTAGAAGATGAGGAAGAAGAAGAGATAGTCCATATGGGCAATGCAATAATGTCTTTCTATTCAGCTCTTATTGATTTGCTTGGCCGTTGTGCACCAGAACTGCATGTAAGTAGCCTTGTATTTGTGCAGGAACAGGAAACTGTGCTTAAGTAATTGCTAAGTAATCAATGCATTAATTACTTCAGTTGGTGTTTACATTCAAGGTTGATCATTACTCGATAAATATGTTTAGTTTCCTAAAATTATAATTTCAGTAAAAGGAAAAAAAAATCCTATCAAATTAAGATTCAGTAATGGAAGATTAGAAAAATATTTGTATAAGGAAAGTATCTTTGATGCATTCCCAGAAAAAAAGATTCTCTTCCTACTGGTAAGGGAATGGGCATAATATATGGGAAAAGCTCTGGATTTCTTCATCAGAATAGAAACATATAAATCTTGTTGATGTGGCCACCAAGCTATCTCTCTCTGTTCATTGGTTAAAAAACAATGTGATTAGGTTTAGGAATGAGTCGAAGCTATTCTAGTTAGGATCCTTACAAAGAGGGCTTGATGCTCAAGCAGCTTTTATTTATTTACTTATTTATTAGATTTACAGACAGCTTTCCTCCAGGAGTTAATATTACTCCACACTCTTTCCTTCTTCATTTAGTATACCAACTCTGTCAAGAATAGGGAACCAGTGGCCCTCCATATGTTGATAAGCTAAATTCCTACTAACCCTGAGCAGCAAGGTTTGTTGTGTGAAACACTCTGAATTATAATATAGTAATACTGGAGGGCCGTGGCCTTGCTTTTTCCTCTCTCCTTTTACTCCAGTCCATCCCACCTACCCCCCTCACGTAACATTAAGAAACTCCAGTTGCTCCTATTGCTCTTTGTTGCATATATCAGTATATAGCAGTAATTTTAAGCCATAGAAGTATTCTTTGAATATCAATATTAAAATAAGTCCATCTATTAGAAAGGGGACCTTAATTCTGTGAAAATCAGAGTGAGAGAGAAGACATATTCTGCTTTATTTATTCAAAAGGAAGATGACCTTGAATTTAAGTGAATCTTCCTAAAAAGGATGTTGAGAAAAAAAATCTGCCTCCATTACCATATTCTCAGTAAATCTAAAACATTTTAATCTGGGGCAATCACTGGGGGAAAGAAACTAGGTTGCTTTTTAGGTAAATGAAATAAATGTTTTCATCTTCCAGCATTTTTGGATTCTTATAAAAAATAAGAAAATGTTTTTGGGCAAATAATTGTTTCATCTACAATATTTTTCTCTAACAATAAGAAAAATAATAGACCATTATTTTACAGCTTATCCAAACTGGGAAAGGTGAAGCTATTAGAATACGGTCAATTTTGCGCTCCCTGGTGCCAACAGAAGATTTAGTTGGAATTATAAGTATCCCCTTAAAACTACCAGCAATAAACAAAGGTAACTACGAAAGTCATTCTAACTGGAGTTGGGATGGAGAATCCAAGTGGCAGATTGGTTTGTTTCATCTTGATCAGAAGTTTTCCTTTATAAGCTTATGAGTAGATTGTAAAGTATTTTATGTTTCTCTTGCAATTATATTAATTTTAGCATATTATAATTATATAAATAATTATTTGAAATGAGGAAGAATACAAAACATTACAACATGAATTTGAATTACGTTTAACCTGCTTGCTATATAAATTATATGATAATAAAACAAATATGTATTTTACATAATCTTCATGATTATGTAATTGTCCTATATCCCAAACCATGGTCTATGTAGAACTACAGGAACATTATAGACTTTGGCACCTGATCGCTTCACTTTCAGCTATCAATTATATAGAGGTCTTGTTGGGGGAGGGGGGATATTTATTTTAAAAAGCCAGCTCAAAGTAAGTGGTGGTAGATGACACAATATATTTTATAGGACTGTGGGAACCATTCATAGGAGTATTTCACTTTAGCAGTAATCCCACAGAGCGTCTTCTGTACACTGAGGTTCTTGAAGGGGCTATGCCAAGTCTTCAAGAAAACATGACATCTTGACACTTGGAACAGCAGGTTTGGAGAGGCACTTTGGTCACCTTAGGAAGCATCTGTCTGAATAGTTTAAATGGTTCCCTATAAAATGCATTTCTGTCTGATTTTCTGGTAAAAATGATTCCCAGGACTTTTGTGTCCACATGTTTGCAGATCAGTAAATATCTGATTGGAATGCATTACAGAAGTTCTGTCTTCTTCCCATCATGATGCACAACCTATCCACACTTCCTGAAATTTTAAAGATGTAAAACAAACAAACAAACCCCATAGAACTACAGATAACATGTGGGCCATAGTGCATTGAAGCAAAATTGTACTTTGGTGATTTCATTGGTGGTTCCCCCAACCAAAGACTGCTTTAGGTAAACCATAGTTTACTTTTATCTTGAATATCCATTTTGTGTGTTGGGATCTGGCATTCTGATTAACAGTACAGTAATCCATAGGAATTAACAAGTCATCATGTGAAAAATCCATCACTTGTCTTCCTGTTTTTCAAACAAGATTTGATCATAAACAACAAAGAAGAAATTGCTGCTTTTTATTATTATTACAATAAAATAATATGATAATAAAACAATAAGAGCTTTTCAAGGTAGAAGTTGTATAGTTGAAAATAACATATTGTGGAGACAAAAGATATCAGAAGGATAAAAGAAATTGCAAGACCTGTCAAAGATAAAAAATTAGGGCCTGTAAAGGGATCAAAACAAGCAAAAACACTCCACAACAAAACCAAGATGATAGAGGAATAGCATACTCTGAAAAGGAGTGTCAGGTTTGAACCCTGAACTGGAGTACTCAACAGTGCAACATTCTGTTACATTTATGTCCTAAAGCAAACACACACTATGTTTAGTCATCTGTTCCTCTTCCTCACTCTTTGTATAGGATTGTACTTGTCTACTGAAGTGCAAAATCTGCTTTTTATTAACCATTTATCAACACTTTAAGAATTTGGAAGCCCCAACTTGTTTCTTTATATATCAAAGTCTGGATTATTTTCATATAATTTAAATTTTAAAGATTTTACAATATGACCATGAAGTGGATCTGTGTATTTGGATTTAGACTATTTTAGTCCCACTGGTTTCTCTAAATTCAAAGTAAGAGAATGGTGAAATAATGGTGGCCTTGAATAAGTGAATATCAGGCAAGCATTGCATTTTCACTTGTTTGTGGACAGGATCCATATAAAACTACACTGAATAATGTTAAGCAATAGTTGTACTGGGATAATGGCTTTTTTTTTTCAGATGGAACAGTCACTGAGCCAAATATGTCTGCAACTTTCTGTCCTGACCATAAGGCACCCATGGTGCTTTTTCTAGATCGTGTCTATGGTATAAAGGACCAAACGTTTCTTCTTCACCTTCTGGAAGTTGGATTTTTACCAGATTTAAGGGCATGTGCCTCACTGGATACAGCTGAGTATTGTTTGGTATTATTCTATAACTGTATTCAGGAGATTTGCTTCTTGGTAGTACTAGAATTTAGCTAAGTAATGTAATTTATTTTCTGCAAGAAGAATGTTGTAATATTAAGAGTTGGCGTGCAAATTTATCTGCAGTTTATAAATTTAAATGATCTGTGAACTGCCTTTTATTATAAACTACTTAAGGCATACCAAAAACATTAATGAAACGAAACATTAATAAACAATGAACAATTAACAGTTAAAACCAAATTGCACCCTCACACAGAGAACAGCCTCATTAAAGATCTTACTCAGACCAAGGTAAATATGTAAGTCATGATAGGACAGCTGACAGGCTGCACATCTATCCATCTGCCTGTCTTTCTGTCATACCATTGGCTGTAATAAATTTCTAGTGGTTTAAGCATCAGAACATAAAATCAACAAAAACACCCATAACAGCTCTAAAATCTGTTTTATTTTCAGGTCCTTATTGCAGTCGTAAGTCAAGGACTATGTGTATTCTAATCAGGATTTCTTTAAGTACAATCACATCTGCATTATTAATCTTCAGTCTGGTAGTGTAATGCTGCTGCAAAACATGATCTCTGTTTTCTTTCTGACAAAGTGCACAAGAATATCACTTGCTATATTTCTTAGATTTGCAAATTGCATGTTGATTCTATAGACTTTGTCAGTTTCTGCCTCCATGTCATCTTGATCCCATTCCAAAAAATTTGTTAGAAATTGAACAATCTTTTCTCTAGTGTCTTCTCCAGGATCCTCTGGAACTGTTCTAAATCTCAGTTGGAATTCTTTTTCTCTCAATTCCATTAATGCCAAATTGTCTAAGTCCTTGTCTCAGTTTATTATTTCTATTTTACTTTCTAAAATTTCCGTTTTGTCATTCATTTAACTTCTGTAATTCTTCTTATAGATTCTTCCATTTTTTTGGCAACTTCTTTCATCTCCTCTTTCATCTTTACAAAACTTTCTTCTATTCTCCCTTCAAAAGCAACCAACTCACTTTTGACAGATTTGACAGACTCAGATACCTGCTTTCCTATTTCTTCAAACATTTTTCATAATATTTCTAGGGTAATTGCTTTTTCTGTCAGTTGCTCTAACAAACTTCTCCTCCCTTCCCCTTGCTTTGCAGCCTTTCTGGTGCTTGCCACATCTTTTATTTATAATCCAAAAGTAAAAATATGTCCATTACAAAGATGAATGTAAAAAGCAGGCTTCTCTTTTTTTTCCTCCTTTCAGTTTCTCTGTATCCTTAAGGCTTTAGTTGAATCTATCTTTCCATAGTTTAGATGACACAATCCATCTCATATTACACTTATCTCCTTATTTTGTAACTTCTACCAATTATCTTTTCCATTTGCTGTCAAACAATCAACATTTCAAGGAAAGTCTAGTCTATTCTTTAATTAATTGCAAGTACCACCAAAAGTACTTTTGCCAGAATATTTTTCTTTCAGATTTATACCATCCCTTTTATCCGTTTATAACTTTCTTAGTCAAAATCTTAATTAAGCTCTTTGCTGTTATTTTAAAATCTTTTAAAAGTATTATTTTCCTCTTTGCTTTACTTTTTTGTAATCCAGAAGAAAGGCTGACTCCCTGAGAAGTTTTCTTTGCCCCACTGTTTACAAAGACCTCTTTTCAACTGTAAATTAATTATAACCTGAAGTGATTAAGAAAGTGACAGTTGGTCGAACTTAGTGACTTGTAAAAGATTGTGCATTGCGAGTGTGAACTGTTTCTCCCGTGACCCCCAACTGCTCTACTCACAAGAAGACTGCAAGATTTCCATCCCACAGTCTCCTCATGAGGAGCACCTGTCTGGGGCACAGGTGGGCAATCTCCCAGTCTCTCCTTTATCTGGAAAAACTTTTGCCAGCCAGAAATCACCACTGGCTGCCATTCACTATCATTGTATCATCTCCGCTACTTCAAAGGCATCTAGTCCACCATAGAACCTCACTCGGAAGCCACGAGCAGGCAGATTCTAATGAAGAGGGTCGCTTTCAGATATTGAGACTCAACATGCAAATGTTGGGGGGGTGGGGAGGTTAGCCCCAGACATACTATTGGGAAGGATGGGACTGCTGCAGAGTTGCTTGCATTTTTAAAAAAATGTATTAAAAGCAAGTTTAGTTACTAAAAGCCAAAGCAGCCTAAATAGAAAGATAAGGCCAAGCTAGGCAAAATACCAGGTGTTTGATGGTAGATTTATAAAACATGTTCAGAAAAAGGACTTTTGCAAGCAGCTTTGTGTGAATGAAGCATATCTCCAATGTACTAATGCATCCTTATCTTCCAGAAGTCTCAGTAAAGCTGCTTCAAAGGCTTTCACTAACCTTCTGCACAAGTGGATGCACTCACAGCAACATTTGTCTTTGTCTTCATATTCGCACGTATATATGGATAGCTCTTTGAATACTTGCACAATTCTATTGCATGGTTGAATAGGCTTATTTGAAATTATGGAAGAGACACATAAAAGTTTCAGGCTGTAAAGAACATCTTTTTCAGAAGGAAAGAAAAGATTGACAAAAAATACACATTTTAGCTTTAATGATGTAGGGCTGTGTCCCATATGAGTCATCAAGCCAACAACTTTTCAGCCCTGTAGTTTGTTCTGAAAGTTCCTTGACATCTGTACTTTTTCCAAACAATGTAATAAGAAAGGCAAGAGCTTTCATCAGCATGCATTCATGTATCTGCCTGAAGGTCTTAAGTTATTGTGCAGCCCTCTGAGAAGAGCTATTCTCAGAGTATTTAACAATAAAGTAGAATGTACATTAATCAGGCAGTAATGCTGTCTAAGTATCATGTGCTAGAACTTTCATTGTTAAAATAATAATAATGTGTTTCTTTTATGCAGATTTCTCTAAGTACCACAGAAACAGCTCTTGCTCTAAATAGATATATTTGCACAGCTGTGTTCCCATTACTCACACGGTGTGCGTCTCTCTTTTTGGGATCTGAGCATTACATCTCTTTGATTGATTCCACCCTTCATACAATATATCGATTGTCCAAAGGGCGCTCTCTTACAAAAGCACAAAGAGACACAATTGAAGAATGCTTGCTTGCTATCTGCCAGTAAGTATTTACATACAATCCTCTTCTGTTTCATGTGGAAACATTATCTCTAATATAAATCATGTTACATTCATTGGTTGGGGTGGGGTGGGGCAGGATCTAAACAGAAACCTAGTACAGAATTTCTCCAAGCAAAGAGAGTAAAAGAGGAGGCCAAGCATACATAAGAAAACAAGGTAGACAATTCACATTGTCTAACTGCACTACAGAGTGTGAACCAAGTTAGCTTTAAATAATTCTTGTTTGTCTCTAAATAAAGCAGCACATTTTATTACCTTAAAAAAATCTATTGAGTGCAGAAGGGAGTGAAAAGAGCAATGGCATTTCCCCAATTTACATGTTCATTTTTCATGTGCAATACCACTTAATTGAGCATCTTTTAATAAAACAATGACTTTGAAAAGTAAATGAGACTTCAGATCCTATATTCCTGATTTTTCACACCTTCCTATAATTTCATTGTCCAACAATGTTCTATTCTATAAATACTAAATTATCCTAATCATCCTAGAATATAAAGAATGGCATTCTTTTTTTTCCAATCAGGAGCCACATTTTTTTTTCAAGGAAATTCTCAGCATTTATGGACCACAGGAGGTGTGGCCAGGAATATGATGAAATCACTGCTATAAGACCAGTCAACACTTTTACCTTGTTTAATAATTAAGATCTAATAGAGGAATATTTGCATTTTATATAGTTTAATACAGTTCACTATGAATTCTGCCTTTTTGATGAGAAGTGGGTCTACTAAACATTAGTAGCAAGTAAAATAAATCTCTTTTTGCAGTACTCCTATCCTGAAATATGATCAGGAATGAGAATCTTACTTACCATATTATTATTTGCATGGTTTAGTGACTTATTTTTGTATAATGTTTTTATTCCTCATGATTCCTAAACATTCTATTGCTTTGTTTTTAGACAGCCTTTTTTACAAAGCATTTGCACTAAATGTCCTGCATTTCAGTTGACCCTGTAAATGCCTTGCAGAGTCATTAAAAGGATGCAAATTACTAACTGTGAACTTCTTTTTTAATTATAGCCACTTACGGCCTTCGATGCTACAACAACTTTTACGACGATTAGTTTTTGATGTACCTTTACTTAATGAATACTGTAAAATGCCATTAAAGGTAAGTATTTATTTTTCTGCTATGGCATTGAATATTTGAGCACTGTGAGGGCCTTTTTTCTTTTGCTCTCCTCACCACTTGAAGTTAAGTTTTAAAGGCTATGCTAACCCACTGCAGTCCAATTCATTTGCTGTCCAGGAATGGCTATAAATCTCTTTCCTCCACAGAGTCAGTCTCACATTCAGAAAGTAAATCACATCAGAATCATCACAAATTCAGCACTACTAAAAAAGTTTTTTTATTATGGACAAGAAAGAAATCAAATACAGTGATACCTCAGGTTACGAACACCTCTGCTTACGAACTTTTCGGGTTACGACCAGCTCTGGCTGCAACAATTTACCTCGGTTTGCAAACTCCGCCTCGGGGTACAAACCGGATCCGCAGCCATTTTCCGCCGTGCCACGTGGTCCGCGGCCATTTTCTGCCCATGCCATGTGGTCCGTGGCCATTTTTCCACCTGTGCCATGTGGTCCGCGGCCATTTTCCACCTGTGCCACGTGGTCCGTGGCCGTTTTTCCGCCCTGCCATGCAGTCTGCGGCTGTTTTTCTGCCCGTGCCACGTGGTCCACAGCCATTTTTCCGCCCTGCCGCGCGGTCCGTGGCTGTTTTTCCGCCCTGCCGCGCAGTCCGCGGCCGTTTTTCTGCCCTTGACGCATGGTCCGCGGACGCCGGAACGGATTAACGGTAATTACATTGAACCTTATGGGAAAATTTGCTTCGGGTTGCGAACAAATCGGGTTGCGACCAGAGTCACGGAACGGATTAAATTCATAACCTGAGGTACCACTGTATATGCAGAAGAAGCTCTGTCTATTGCAGAACTTAGGGATCAGCCTTCTCTCTCTTCCTCTTCCCCTCCCATACACAAACACTCCAGGGTTTAAATTCCAAGCATTTTCCTCCCACATTTCTGAGTCAGTGGGCTTTTGGTCATTCTTTTCTCAGCCTTGAGTACCAGGGATATAGTTATATAATGATTTGGTCTGGAATCATTACTTGCTACCTCATTAGCTTCAGTCCTTATATTAGTTAGGAAAGTTTGTGTTGAAACGTAATTGTATGTAATGCATGCCAGAATCTTTACCATGGTCAATAACCAGTCCACAAAATACCTTACATACATAAAATTGATATTGAGTAACCAATCAGGTAAATAGATCAATCAAACTTCTGTGCATCTTATATGACACAATTTGTCTACACTTAAGGAAATGGAATCATTTGAATCTGAAAGTAAAAGTTTTAAGTAAAACTGGTCAGACTGGCCAGGTATTTAACATGGACAGTATAATAAAACATATTTGGTGATTTCAGTGACTCCTTTACTGCATGGGCAAAGTCTGCATTTAAATGGGATGCCTTTGTATCTCCCCTCTAAGTCCATTGATGGAAGCATTTTGAACCATGCCAAGATTAAGGCCCTTCTTAATTTGGGAACAGTAATTTGGTTAAGATATCTGGCTGGTCTACAAGGGGTACAAAGGCTACTTAACAACATCTCTTTCAATACTGTTGATTATGGTATTCTTCTGGAGTGTTTGTGGAGATTGATGGGATTGGTGATTAGAAGTGTTGTTTCACAAGGATTCTGCTCCTTCCTTAGCTATTTTCAGTGGCTGATGATTAGAGAGGAAAAAAATCACCCCAGTGGCTGCTCCTGTGTGTGGTACTAAAGGGTCAGTTCTCTCCCCACTGTTTTTTAACATCTACATGAATCTGCTGGGGAAAGTCATCCAGTGGTTTGGAGCCTGGTATCATCAATTTGCTGATTGTATAACATGATCCCAGGCCATGCTGGAGATGCAGGTGAAGTCTTGTCTTGGCGACTGAAGGTTGTGATGGGAGACAACAGGCTTAAATTGAAGCCTAGCAAGATGCTGCTACTGTTTGTATACCAGGGCTCCTCTATGCCCCCTGTTTTGTCCATTGATCCACAACATGGAGGTCTCCCTAGATGTCAGGCCCAGCCCAATAACAGTGATGAAACAGTCCAGCCAAATATAGTTCCTTTATTTCCTTATACCTCGTAGACAGAATCTTGCCAAACTAAATCTATACCTCAGCAACTAGTGGATATACCCTGGGAGATTCTAGGGAGTGGCTACCATGAACCTCTTACTCTTCCCATGCTCCCCTTGTGGACTATGTTGCCTTTTGTCTCCTTTCCCCTGCTGGAAAGCACCCCCCCCCTTCCTAATAGCCTTGATCTCCCATATCACTTTCCTTTTCATAGATATGTTCCATCACACTAGATCTGTAGCTCCTGCTGGACCAGTAGGTGGAAGCTATAGCCAGTGGAGGTCTTTGCCCAGCTTTGACTGGTGTACCAGTTGTGTACTTACTTGAGACCTGAAGTTAACCCTTCAAGGTAGTCCAGACAAGAAGCACAACCAGGCGCATTAGCACTATCTTTATTGTGAGGTTACATTAAACCAAATCTTGCAAGACTGAAAGTATTTCTCCCCTCCTCTCTGTTTAGTCTCCAGAAAACTAGGGAGAGTCCCTTCTGAAATACTTCCCATGCTTTTACCCCCACCTCTGGAGTGAGCTGACTCTTATCAGATGGTTGCCTAGGCTGCGGCTCTTCCTCCTATCTCCCAAGGTCATTCCCACATATCATCACATGTTACTATAGTAACCCACACTCTTATCTCCACCTCATTAGACTCCAACAATGCATTCTATGTGAGGCTTCCTTTAAAGATCACCTGGAAGCTTCAGTTGGTGCAGAATGCAGCAGCCTGGATAGTCACAGGTGATTCCAGTGGGAACATATTGCCCTTGTTTTGTAGGTCCTGCATTGCCTTCCTATTAGCTTCCAGGGACAATGTGAAATGCTGGTTTGATCTTATACAGGTCTTTATGGCCTAGTACAGGCTAATATCCAGGACTCCATCTCCCCACTAGAGTTGGCCGAATCGCTTCAATTATGCTGGAAGAAGCAGATGGTTGTCCTCCATTTGGGGGAGACCATGGGGACATCAGCCCAGAAACTGGAAGACCTGAATCCTAGTCCTGTCTATGAAGCCAGCTCTTTGACCTTTGGCCAGTCACTCTCGCTCAGCCCTAGAAAGAAGGCAATGGCAAACCACATCTGAAAATCTTGGCAAGAAAGCTGCAGGGGCTTGTCTAGGCAGTCGCTAGGAGTCAACACTGACGGGAAGGCACACACACCAAAAGCGGGGGGGGGGCAAAGCCTGGAAGGGATGTTTTTCCATTCTGAAGCTTGCATGTCTTATCATCTGCCTTCCAGAACAAACTGAAAACAGAATTTTTCCAGAAGGCTTTGCAGTCTGATGCCATGTATTGTTTTGGGATGTTTCAACATATTTCTAATATATTTTCTTTTGATTATTGTGTTCTGTTTATTATTGTAAGTGCTAAGAGAGTTTTATGATTATGGCAGGATATAAATCTGGCAGGATAGGAATTTGATAAATAAGTAAAAAAACAAAATAACTATAAGCTATAAACAATGCAGCTCACAGTAAAAGCCAAAGTAACTAAAAATGGCTGATATTACAACTTCACTAATAATCTTATTTCCTGAATTAAAGTGGAAGTTATACAATATGTTTCTTTATCCTGTATTCTGAACTGATTCAAAATGTAAATTAATTTAGAATGAGGGCATCTGGGACCAGTGAAGGAAGGAAACTATAGAAACGGTCAAGAAGTCATTACTGAATAAATAATTGACAGTGGAGACTTCTGTGAGGCTTCTAGTAATGTCTTAACTAGTATTCAAAAATCTGCAATGTGACATGTTGGTTAGCCAAAAATTGACAAAGATAACTATATAAAATAAAATGTAAGGTTATTTATTAAACATTACAGAATACTCAGTAACCTTTTAAATAGTCTTTGATGTATCTCCAATTATTAAAGTATGCAGATAGATCTGATCACAATGATTTACAGAACTGGCTTTAAACATATTCCAGATTGTGGGACTTTAAGGAAAGAGGAATTAAAAATTAAAATTGAAGTGTTGGAGAGACCTGTATTCAAATGCCCTCAGTTATGTGATGTTGGATAAGTCACACATCAAGTTTAATATATTCCCTGAGTTGTTAATAAGATAAAATGGGGAGGGGGGAGATTATGTATTGCCTTTTTATATTCTCCAAGGAGGAATAGAATTAAGATGTATTCATTGTCATAACCATCTATCACTTGTGATTTACATGGTCTTTCCTGTAAGAAAGGAGACAGCAGACTTTTATCATCTATCCAAAGAAACAACAGAAATTCCTAGGAAGTATATTGGATTCTTTACAACATGTGTCCCTCCACCTATGGGTGGACCCATGCCCTACATTACTCCTTCAGGCAGCCAGGGGTAAGGCTGTGTGGGCTGAAGGGTGGGTTTGTGGTGGATTTAAGATGTGGTTAATGCCTCTTTGAGAGAAAGGATGGTCCTAGCTGCCTTCAGCGGCGACTGCAGAGGAGGCAAGGGGGCAAATGATACAAGAAGTGCTGGCCAACATTCTGCAAGCTCTGACTCTTTTGTACATGCATCATGAATTGGAGACATATACAAAAGTGGTGGATCTCAAAGTGCCACTCTGTTTTCATAGTTTTGAAAGTTGCCTCTTGCTGCCTTTACTTGTTTATTAGATTAATATCACCCTTTTCTTTCAGGAATTCATACCAGCATATATAGCATTCCCTCATCCATTATTTCCCCAGACAACAACTCTGTGAGATAGGTTGGGCTAACAGTGACTGGCCCAAAATCATCCAGGGAGATTCCATGACTAAGGGGGAACTTGAAGCTGGGTTTTGTTGGTTCTAGTCAAATGACTTAACTACTATACCACATTGACTTTTCTTGAAGGAGACAGACAGTACACATGCTCCCGAGGAGGCCATTTCTCAATCTGGCCATATTAGGCAATTTCCATCAGAACTACAATATTTCCATTTTAGGGAAAGTTTTGTAGAAAGTGGTGGAGTGGGGTGGGATTGCAAAGGACTCTAGATAAACTGGATTACTGGCATCATTTCCAGCTGTGGTTCAGGTCTGGGCATGGGAAAGAAACCATATTGGTGCTGTGGTGGATGATCTTTGACAGGACATGGAGTCCAGCCCTCCTGGTCCTACTTAACATCTCTGCAGCATTCAGTAGCATTGTCCTGGTATATTTCTGGTCCATCTGCAAGGATTGAGGGTCTATGACTTTGTTTTGTAATGGTTCCTTTTGCAGGCTGCTGTCCACACCTTTGTGCAGTGCCATTAGGCTTGGCTCTTTTTCCTCTGCTTTTTTCTAAATGACACCGTTAGGAGAGGTTAACTATTCAAGGTGACGTATCATAAATATGTGGATGATTCTCACTTGTATCTCTGCACTCCTACTGGGCTGAAGATGGAGTGGAGGTCCTCACTCATACCTGGGGGCTGTGCAGATGTGGATGGAATAAAAAAGCTAAAGCTGAATCCTAGCAAGGTGGATGTACTATTCATTAGAAACCATCTGACACAAGGTCTTCTCCTTCATCACACTGTCCCTGAAGGAGCAAGTCTGTGAGTTGGGAATTCAGTTGGACTCACAGCTATTGCTTGACCAGCAGGTGAAGACTCTGGCCAGGAGAACCTTTGCCCAACTTTGGCTAGTGCTCCAGTTGCAGCCATTTTTGAAGCAGGATGCCTTGACAACAGTAACACAAGCCTTTATCACTTCAAACTACTGTATTGTACTTTACCTGGGGCTAAATTTGAAAACTACTGGGAAACTGCAATCGGTGCAAAAGGCGTTGTGTACAATCTAGCACCTAAGAGTCACTTCAGGCATGTGACACTAGTTTTGTGGGCCCTGTATTGTCCTTCAGTAGAGTTCCAGATAGAGTTCAAAGTGCTGGTTTTAAACCTATACAACTCAGCACCCAGTTACCTTCAGAACCATCTCCTTCAGTTTGAATTTCCCCATCTCATGTATTTAATCCAGGGTAAGATACCCTAGATTCCCTACCCCCACCTGAAAGTTATTTGGGATGGGACCCAGGGAAAGACCACCTTAGTGGTTACCCCATTGTTATGAAATGATCCGGGTCATCTGACATTATTATCCTTCAGGAGGCTGTTAACAGTTCACCAGCCTTTTGTGGGCTAAGTGCGTGTTTGCTTTTTGTTAATTGGAATTATGGGAACTCGTGGTTATGGAAGCTTTATTTTAATTTAATTTAATGTAAATGTTATCACTTTGAATTTTATGGAATTATTATGTAGTTGGTTTTGTGGAATGTTATATCTATAAACCATGTAAAGCCAATCTGAGCATGGTAGTATATGACCAATATAAATAAATAAAAGGAGGTAGATTGATTTCTATAGAGGGAATAAAAAATTAAGAGTCCCAATAGAAGCAAATATGTGTAGCTCAGGGTTGAACTGTGGAGACCCTGGGGTTCTCTGAGCTTGGTTGTTTTCTTGCAAACGTTTCATTACCTGGTTAGGTAACTTCTTCAATGCTAGAATAGAATGGGGTTTGCTCTCTGTTTTTATACTGGGGCATGCCCTGCCAGTGTTGGGGGGTGGGTGGGCTTTGTTTTGTTCTATTTTTTTCCTCTGGTCATTCCTCAGTTAAGGTATTGTTTACTGTTGTATGTCTGGTGGTAATCTTGGTGTTAATCTCTGCTTATCTGGGTGATGATTGCTGGTGAGGAGATGTTCTGGTCTTTTGTTTTCCTTTCTATTGTCTCTTTTGAATAGTGTGTAGATGTTGTGCCTGTTGATGGCTGCCTTGTCTGAATACCAAGCTTCCAAGAATTCCCTTGCATTTTTGGATTTAGCTTGGTCTAAGATGCTGACAGTTTCCCAGCTGAAACTATGATTAAGTCTGTCCATGTGTTGTGAGATTAAGGAGTTTTCATCATGTCTTCTGACTGCTAGTTG